CCCCCCCCCCCCCCCCAAGGGAGGACAGAGGGAGGAGCTGGCTATGCACACACGCAGACTTTCTGATTCTGTCCTTGAAGGGGAAGAGAGATTGATGGGGTGAAGAGAGGAAGCCTGCCTTCCCTATTAAGAAGTAAAAAAAAAATAAATTAATAAATAAACAAATAAATAAACAGACACCAGGAAAGGTTATACACTTTCCCGAGATCATACAGCTAGTTGGCAACAGATTTTTCTCCTGGACTTTAGAGGCCATTCAGTATGGATAGAAAAGACGGTTTTGGAGTTGGCCAGGCCTCATGGTCACTACTTACGTGACCTTGACCTTGGTTTATGCCTCAACACAGTAGGGTTAAAATTTCTACCTCAAGAGCTCTTGGGAGGCTTGCATTAGATCTAACTTGTTGAATAACCTGGGCCAGTGTTTGGCCTCCATTTCCTCATCATCAGTAATGCAGCTAGTGCCCAGCCAACCTGGGGCATTTTCCTATCCCTTTGTTCTTTCTTTTTCATCTAGGCTTGGAGCCTCAGAGAAAATTTGGGGATTAGGGGTCAGTTCTCAGAGTGAGACTTGGAAGTGGACTCTTTTAATTTTGATCTTTTGGAAGGAGAAAAAAAAATTGTTCCCAAGGAAGTGAAGTCCTACATGGAAAGAATTTTAAAAGTCACACGCACCCTAGAAAAACTTGTGTGACACCTGGAATGGATCTTGGAGTCAGGAGTTCAACCACGTGGCTAGTGTCACCTTGGGGAACCAAATACCTTTCAATTCGAAATAGTCTCATTTCTTTTCTAGGGCATTCTTTAAGTGGCTGTTTTAAAAGTTGTTTTGATACGCACTTTGGAGGACTTTATGCAGAAGCTCCTGGGCACGTGGAAGTGGTGGTCTAAGGGAAGGGGTGAAAAAGGTGACACAGCCACATCCTTGTGTGAGGGCTCTGGCCCAGCATGTGCCAGATGTGCTGTAGTCCTTGTCTACGCGCTTCCTTAGAAGGGCTGGATAAGGCGGTTCCCCACGCCCTCAGGGAAGCTGTTGTTTCAGGGGCTAAGGATGCAGCTCGAAGCGGGGGCACATCCTGTGTGGTACGCTGGTGACCCTCCTCTTGCGGTGTCTGCTACTTGCTTCCTGTCCAGCTCCTTAGTGAAGTACAGCTGTGAAGCCGCGTCCTCACAACGTGGTCCACATGCTTTGTGCCAGACCCCTGATGCTAATAAGTTCATTAAATGAAATTGAGTTTCTCTTCTTCCGCTGCAAATCACATTTTACTTTTAGCCGGTTTCCCGTCCACACTTCCCAGCTGAGCTGCCCCTCTCCTTGTCCCTCCACCCCTCGTCCCCCCACCCCTCACCTGGCCCGGGTTGTGGGGGGTTAGTGCTGGCCGGGTCGCTGACCCCCAGCGCTGAGGAAAGGTGGGGCGGGAGGGCACTTCCTCCGGGACTTGGACTTCCTGCGCACACCAGGAGGAAAACAGAGCTGCAGGGTGTGCGAACCCACAGGTTAAACAAGCAACACAAACACTTGTGCACGACACAAAAAATTTAAATTGCTGTAAGTTACCAAAATAAAATAAAATAAAATTCCTGGCAGGTCAGTTTCCAGGGCAACTGGAGGGGTAGCTTTTATCTATCAATTGGTGCACTGATAGGGTGATGTTAAAAAAAAACAAAAACCCTACCTTTTCTCGCGGCAGTTGTTGGCAATAGCGGTATATTTTAGTGTTTAATGACTAGAGAAGCCGTTTTATTTGCCAAATCACCACGACCTATTTTTACCTAGGAGACCTGCAGTTTGCTGTGTAGCAGCCTCCATACGTTGATCCTTGTAAGTGCTGTTGTCTGTCATCCTTCAGGGGAATGGATAGCTTTGCCACATTGGTGCCTCTGTTCTCAATGTTGTTTATTGGAGAGTGGCTCCTTCAACGAGGGGCAGTAGACACATCAAAGGGTGTTCAGTTATTCTGGCCGAGGGCTGAATTGCTTTGTGTTTACTGTTGTTTCCAAAGCTGTTTTTAAATTTTATTTAGTTTTTATATATGAAAGCCTCCCCCCCCCCCCCCCATTTCACTTCTCCCTTCCTGATTAAGTCATACAGACTTTGGAGAAGTTCTTGAAAATTTTATAAAAGTTTTGAACAGAAAACAAAACACCGCCTCAAACCTCACCAGTTAGGTATAAACACTGTTCACATTTTGGAATATTTCCTTCTGGTCTTTAGGCACATAGTTTGTCATGCTTGATATGTTTTTTCCTCTGACTGTTTTTTCAATTAAACTTTTCTCTGGGTTTTATGTTAACAGCTCCTGGTCCCTCTTGAGACCTGAAGGTATTTATTTAGTGATCTTGTTAATGCTTGGCATATAGTTTCTAATTTTTAAACTATTTCTCTGTGGTCCTGGCGAGATTACAAATTCTCTAATAAATTGCTAGTTGTATTCGCACTTCACCCTCCAAAATTCAGGTTGAATACTGTTTATCAAAACAACTAAGCTTCCAGAAGCCCATGATGTGCATGCCTGAGGGTCTCAGCCTGCGTCCCCTGTCCCCATCTGCAGGTTTTCCCTTCTTTCTTGGCGGAATCGGCTTCAAATCAGACAGACCTGAGGACGATCCTTCCTCAGCCTCTGCACTAAGCGCTGCCCCTGG